GGGAAAATTTGGGAAAAAATGGGGAAAATTTGGGAAAAAATGGGAGAAATTGGGAAAATTTGGGAAAAATTGGGTAAAGTTTTGGAAAAATTGGGAAATTTTGGGAATAATGGGAAATTTGGGGGAAAATTTGGGGAAATTTGGGCAAAATGGGGAAAATTTGGGGAAATTTGGGAAAAATGGGGAAAATTTGGGAAAAAATGGGGAAAACTTGGGAAAAATGGGGAAAAATTGGGAAAAAACAGGGAAAATTCGGGAAAAATTGGGGAAAATTTGGGAAAAATTGGGAAAAATTGGGGAAAATGGGGAAAATTTGGGGGAAAATTGGGGAAAATTTGGGGGAAAATTGGGGAAAATTGGGGAAAATTTGGGAATAATGGGAAATTTGGGGGAAAAAATGGGGAAAATTTGGGAAAAATTGGGGAAAAATGGGAAAAAACAGGGAAAATTCGGGAAAAATTGGGAAAAATTGGAGGGAAATCCCAAAAAATGGGAAAAAACAGGGAAAAATTGGGAAAATTTGGGGGAAAATGGGGGAAAATTGGGAAAAATGGGGAAAATTTGGGGAAAATTGGGAAAAATGGGGAAAATTTGGGGAAACGGGGGAAAATGGGAAAAAACAGGGAAAATTCAGGAAAAATTGGGAAAAATGGGGAAAATTTGGGAAAAATGGGAAATTTGGGGAAAAAGTGGGGAAAGTTTGGGGTAAAATGGGGAAATTTGGGAAAAAATTGGGAAATTTTGGGAAACAACATGGAAATTTAGGAAAAAATGGGGAAAATTTGGGAATAATGGGAAATTTGGGGAAAAAGTGGGGAAAATTTGGGGTAAAATGGGGAAAATTTGGGAAAAAATGGGGAAAATTGGGAAAAACTTGGGAAATTTGGGAAAAACTTGGGAAAATCCGGGAAAAAAACGGGGAAAATTGGGAAAAACTTGGGAAATTTGGGAAAAAAACGGGGAAAATCCGGGAAAAAAACGGGGAAAATTGGGAAAAACTTGGGAAAATCCCCCAAACCTTGGGAATATTTGATCCGGAATTGGCCCCTCCCCCTCCCCAGGTGTGTCCCGGCCCCACCTGCCGCGAGTTCCGCTGCTCCATCCCCCCCCTGAGACCCCCAACAACCTGGGGGTTCACCCTGGGGGGGAAACTGAGGCTGGAGTGGATGGGACAGGTGAGAGTGGGGGAGGGGACAGGTGAGGGGGGAGGGGACAGGTGAGAGTGGGGGAGGGGACAGGTGAGGGGGGAGGGGACAGGTGAGGGG